TTAACAAAAGGAGATCAAACATACCTTTTCAAAATCACCCATATTAACATTGTGTAATGTATCRCCTTCATCATCAAGAATTCCTTTAAAAAACAACAACATATGAATGTTTTTAATTAAACAAAGATAGGACTCAAGTTTTTTATTCTTTCCACATAAATGATATTTTTCATAATTAATTAATGATTTAATTACAACACATACCTTGGTCTTTCAGGGTCAATATCGTTGTWGTTCCTTCCTAAAGTTATACAAAACAGCAGAGAAATATAAGTGGATCAAAATATTAGATAAATGCACCAACTTAGAAAGTGATGAAGAAGCTTTAATGTTACCTTGAAACCTGTTTGATCATGTTCCACTGTGAGTCCTTTAAGGTCYCTTGATGTGTATGACTGCAGAAAATATCAACGTTAGACTAAATAGTTCTTTCATATTTGTTGTTGAACATTGCATGGAATCCTATTACTTAGATTTTCTAATAATATATATAACATTACTTGTTTGACACRTAGTCAGTACCTTTCGTTTCATTGAACCAAATTCTTCATTTATAAGATCACCAACTCCAAATTCAGCATCCATTTCTTCCAACATTCTTGCCTAATAATGATAAAACAACAACAGAGAGCAAATTAAAATACAAATATTTTCGTTAAATTCAGATAATATAAAATTGTACAATAAGAAACAAATAAAAACACTACTATCCCATAATTTCAGTACCCKTTTCTCTGCCATTTCTTTCTCTTTCTGGTTCTTTCTATTCTTCTTCACCCATGCTGAAGCACTTTCATCATCACTGTCTTCTTCTCCAAGGGTCTTAACTTTACTATAAAAGGTAATTTTTTAAATTTAATGGTTTACTTACATCCCTGCACTTACAAGCTTAGCTCCAAGCATTTATGACAACAGTGAAGTTAAATTAAACTTAAATATCAATCAAACAATGTCATACACAAGTTTCTGATGTATTTTTCTTTTTTCTCTGATTTCTTCTAGCTTTCGTCTCATCTAAAAGAGAACAAAAAAAAACGTTAAGTGAAAAGACACTCATGTTTATCATTMGAGTAGGAGTTAGGATTTTAGTCAGGGGTTTAGGGAAGCAAGAGACAAGTAGAATAAGAAATTSTTAAAATAAMAACCTTTTCTTGAATTTCTGTTTCACCCATATTCTTTGCAGGAACATGAACATCGTCCAACAGTGCAGTCTTTTTTTCTTGGTGAAAATACAAATACAGTCAAGACTATTATCTTTACAGACTATACTGTTAATAGAAATTTAATGCTTGGAGCTGCAGAACATTAAATAATATTATTGAGGAAATACATGATGTCAGATAATTGGAATGTCAAAGCTTTTTTGTTTTCAATGTAATTAGATATAACTTGCTGTAATTTGGATGCTAACCTTCTGTTTTTTCTTCACCATCATCAACTTTAAGTGGTTTCAAGCCAAGTTTTGCTCTGAGTTTACTGTTATGAAAAATCAATTAATAAAACAATGAAGACTATACAGAACTGCAAAAATTAATTGCACCCTTTGACGCAATCCCCATCTCAAGGCACCCTTTGACGCAATCCCCATCTCAAGACACCCTTTGACGCAATCCCCATCTCAAGGCACCCTTAGAAAATCTACAGCTTGACTCCAATCATATACCAATGTCAAACGACTGAAATACATCTACCCTTGTTAACAATTGTACAGCCGTGTTTTTTTGTAGGCTCAATTTACAGATGTTGAGATTTGATAAGCACTAAAACAAATCTCTAAATTAACTGACAGATCTTCAACGTCTGTCAGTGAAGAGACTACCATGGGTACAAGCTAAACCTAATAACCTAATGCTATCACCAACTACCATGGGTACAAGCTAAACCTAATAACCTAATGCGATCACCAACTAAGGAAAAGTGTGTTTCTAAATAGTGAAAAACTCTTACTTTGTTTCTTCGATACTTAACGAATCACCGCCACCACTAGCACTTTCCTCATGCCGTCCTGTTTCTCCTGTGTCAAATTAATTATTAGAGTCCAAATTAACACAGGATATACAATGAAATATAATAATAATTATTGGTATACTCAATAAAATGGTTTTTCAGAAACCTTACAATGTATATATAAGAATAGAAATTGATAAAATTACTTAAAATTATTTACAACTATTAAATTTAATCAATTCTATGTATAAATGTATCTCTATYATGAGTGAAATACAATGACTTCATAAATAAGATTATATAGGGTTAGAAATGCAGTAGCTTGAGTTACGATTTT